GTCCTTCTTCAGCTTAAGGTGCAGGAAAATCTGCCTTTCTAAAATTACCAGTCTTTCACTGATAGTGCAGTCTTGGAATCTCTTCTCTCTGTGAGCCATAGAAATAAAGAAAATGTACCCATTTAAAGAGTATGTAGGCCAGGAGTAGGAGGCTCCATGCCTGTAATCCTAGCTACTCAGGAGGCTGAGATCTGAGAATTGCAGTTCAAAGCTAGACCAGGCAAGAAAGTCTGCAAGACTCTTTTCTCCAATAAACAACCAGAAAACCAGAAGTGGTGCTGTGGCTCAAGCAGTAGATTGCTCGCCTTGAGCTGAAGAGTGCAGGGACAGTGCCCAAGCCCAGAGTTCAAGCCCCATGACTGGAAAAAAAAAGAGTACCTTGATTTGTAAAATGACATTAACTTGCTGAAAAAGATACAAAAAAGCAATGAAATCTATAGAAATGTTCTGCTTTGTTAGTCGTCCCAACGAGAAATGTGCTCTTGTATAAAAATTGAAAATAAAATTGCATTGAAGTAAAATTTTCTGCAGAAAGTAACCAATTAACATAGACACCTTACAACTGTGTGATTTACTAAATATTTGTCTCCCACAGTTAATAGTGTAATAAGCAGAAGTACATAAAATATGACAACAAATAAAGAAGTATTGGAATTTAAATACCAAGTGAACTGAATAAACACTGTAAAAATAAAAAGAAATAATCTATAAAGAAAAATGAACCATCTCTCCTAAGACAAAATGATGATCATGAAAAACATTAATTTACAAGGAAAAAGGAATTCTTGGATGCTGAGAGTAAGAATTAGTTTACATCATTTTAGTGGACAATATGGAAGTCCTCAGAAAACCAAAATAAAACTGTCATACTTTTGCATCCAACCATCCAAAGAAAGTGAGATGAGCAAGCTAAAGAGACACCAGCACACTGGTTTGTAGGGCACTATTCACAGTAGCTGAGATATGGAGTCACTGATGTGCTCATGAGCAGAAATAGATTAAGTAATCTTGCTCTTGAGGTAGATACTGGTGGCTCACACCTATAATCCTAGCTCTTCAGGAGGCCTTGATGTGGGGGATTGCTACTTGAAGGCAGCCTACTCAGAAAAGTCTCTGAAACTCTATCTCCAAAATAATCAGTAAAAGAGAGATTATTGATGTGGACCAAGTGATACAGTAGGAGCCTAGCAAGTGTGAATAAATGTAGTAAGTGAAAGACCTAAATTTCAATGTGGTAACCCTATAACATACATAAAAAGTTTATAATAAAGAAAGTTTATTTTGCTTGTAAGGTTTACACATTTACCAAATAATGCAAAATATCACATGAATAAAATTCAAAGTAAAACATTAACATGAAAATTATTGTTATGCAGCAAAAGAAGCACAAGACATTTGGTAGAAGAGAGCTATCAATGGCTAGTTGAATGATGGAGAGAGTGAAAGGGAGGGAGGGAAGAAGGAACAGAATTGAGAGAGAGAGAGAAAGAAAGAAAGAAAGGAAGGAAGGAATGAAGAAAGGAAGAAAGAGATAGTATATTAGGAAGATAAAGCATAAATTATTCTCTCCTATCTTACAATAAAATGGGGGGGGCAGGTGATTGTATAAAAAGCCCATATCCCCTTGTCAAAACCCCAGAAACACAAAACAAAACAAAACAATACAATAAATGTTTTACTTCATGAGAGACTGATTTAGTAAGTCAGCATAGAGTTGAATAGCCCAGACCTTCCCTGGGGCTCTGGATGCCTATGATACAGGAAATACTGGTGAGGCAGTGCATGGCTGCTTTTCAAAGCTCTTCCATGAACCTTACTTCTCCTACCGTCCTACTCACTCCTCACCAAATGAGCATGAATAGAAAGACCCTGATTTCCACCACACATGCATTCAATGGTGTCAAGACTGTGAACAAAACTATATTCATCACCCACATATCTTAGAAGGCCCAAAATAAAAGCATGAAAACTTATAGATACGCTTGAGCTTAAAAAAAATCTGTTTTCAAGACATTGCATTTAAAATTTTTTTCTACAAAACCTGGACACATGTCTCTGTTGTTGTTTTTAATGTACAATGTGATTTTTTGTTTCTTTTGTATGTTCTTCCCTCTATGGTGTATCCCCTGTTGTCACTGTATTTGATTTTGGTACCATGGTATTGTATATATGTCTATTTGAATTAGGGAAGGGAAAGGGAACAACAGAATGGTGAGACAAAGGTCAAGGAGGGAACCAATGCAACAGCATACACAAGAAAATATGTTGGAAATGATCTGTAAAACTTGGGGGGTGGGGGTGGGGGCAGAAAGTAAGAGAAAAAATGAGGGAAGGGATAACAAGGTTGACAAGTAACGTACTTGTGGCCTTATTTATCTAACTATAACCCCTTTGTACATCACCTTGACAAGAAAAGAGTGGGAGAGGGGCTGGGAAGGTGGCTCAGTGGTAGAGCACTTGCCTTGCATTCCTAAGGCCCTGGGTTTGATTCCTCAGCACCAATTAAGCAAAAAGAAAAAAGCCGGGAGTGGCGCTGTGGCTCAAGAGGTAGCGCGCTAGCCTTGAGCTGAAGAGCTGAGGGACAGTGCCCAGGCCCAGAGTTCAGGCCCCACGACCGGACACCCCCCCCCAAAAAAAAGTGGGAGAAATTTTTCTAAGGATTTATTTTAGAATATTTTAATCTCTTTATCTTTTATTTCCAGTAGTTATACAAAGGAGTTTAAATTCAATGTCTTAAATTTTTGTGTGTCAATCTTGGGCCTGGATACTGTCCCTGTGAGGCAGGATAGCCTAGGGAAAATGAGGCAAGGTAAATGGCTGCCAGGGATTCAAAGACTCAAGCTTACAGCTTGTCTATTTACTTCTCTTAAGATGAAGGGAACAATGTCATTTTAGGGGAGATGAAGCCAGATAGACTAGAGGGAAATGAGAAAGGTCAGCTAACAGCAAATATAGGAGATATTCCTTCATGTACTGCCATTTTTTGTCCATTTGTTTGTGTGCCTGCTTGTTTACTTACTCAATAAAGCTCTGCCAAGTTTTCCAACCATTAGGACTTGCCCAGAAATTCTTATTCTGCAATCGAAGTCAAGGACACTAAGTGAAGAGTTCCTAAATTTAAAGGTAAATTTTACTAAACCTCACCTCTGTCCAGTGATACCTGTGCTGAGCTTCCTCCTCCCCCAAATTTAGCTCTTGAGCCACAACTCCATTTTTGGCTTTTTTTGGGGGGTAGTTAATTGCAGATAAGTGTATCTCAGGTTTTTCTGGCTGAACTGGCTTTGAACTGCAATACTCAGATCCCAGCCTCCTGAGTATCTAGGATTACAGGTAAAAACTACCTGTGGTTTTTTTTTTAATTATATTATCAAGGTGATATACAGAGCAGTTACAGTTACACAAATGTAAAGTAGTGATTACATTTCTTGTCTGACTTCTTACCTCCCTCCCTCATTTTTTCCCTCCCCGCAACCCCCTCCACCCAAGTTGTGCAAATCAGTTCCAACATACTGTCTTGTGAGTATCGCTGTTGCATACGTTTCTACTTTGCCCTTTGTCTCACCGTTTTGTTGTTCCCTTCCCTAGTTCAGATAATATATGTGTGTGTGTATATGTATATGTATATATATATATATATATATGTATCTATCTATCTATATATATATGCAATACCCAGGAGCCCAAAATCTAATACAATAACAGCAGGAGTTCATTTTGGTTAGTATCATCTTATATGGTCATATGTACATAGCTATTGAGCTATTTTTCTCATCTGCTAAGGTTATCCTAGATGCATACTAATTATTCAGAACAGGGAAACCATGAGACCTATGTTTCATTGGGCCTGCGTTACTTCACTTAATATGATTTTTTCAAAGTCTTTCCATTTCCTTACAAATGTGGCAGTGTCATTCTTTCTAATGGATGCATGTAATTTCATTGTATGTATGTATATATATATATATATATGTATGTATATATATGCATATACACACATATATATATCTATGTATCTCACATTTTCTTTATCCATTCATCTACTCAGGGTCATCTGGGTTGGTTCATTATCTTAGCCATGGTAAATTATGGTGCAATAAACATAGTTGTGCTGGTAGCTTTAGTGTGGCCTTGTTTGTGGTCATTTTGGTAAATGCCCAGAATGGCCAACAGATACATAAAAAATGTTCAATATATCTGGCCATAACCCCTGTTTTCACTGTATTGGAGTCATGTCCTGTATTTTGTATATACATTTTTCTAATTTGGGGAGGGGAAGGGAAATGATACAATGCTGAAATAAGGATACAGGATGACCCATTGTAACAATGAGATGTACAAGACACTATGTTGAAAATGAACTTTGCAACTTTGGGGGGAGGGAGGGAGGAGTTGGGGAGGTGGGGAGGAAAGGGATGGTAGGAGAAAAACAAAGGAGGAGGTAACAATGCTCAATAGGAAATGGACTCATTACCTTGCTCATGTAACTGTAACCCCTCTGTAAGTATCTTTACAATAAAAAACATTGAGATTCCATCTCACCCCAGTTAGAGAGGCTATAATCAAGAAATCTAATAACCGCAGATTCTGGAGGAGATGTGGCCAAAAGGGAATGCTACTACACTGTTGGTAGGAGTGTAAACTTGTTCAACTAATCTGGAAAGCAGTGTGGAGGTTCCTCAAAAAACTGAACAGAGAGCTCCCCCATGACTCACATACCTTTATACACAGAGGGGAAATTTTATGAAGTTGAGGCCTAGAAATCACATACCCTTATATGGCAGGATCAGAGTCAGATCTTGGGTTCCATTACTACAAGATTCAGCTCTCTGCCTCTCTTCTTATACACTGGCTCCAGTTCTCATTGTGAAATGAAAGACATGGCTGTGTGTGTCCTGAGATCTGACTCAATCCCCAGAACTGCAGGAAGGTGAGAGTGACCTCAGCATCTCAAAGACCTGACTTGGCCCAGAGGCTATGCATAGTACAGAGGGCATCTTCCAGTCTTGAGCAGTCCTTGCTCACACACACCAAGTACCCAGGGCTTCCCTTTCTTAGGTAACCTGAACATAAATCGAGAATAGTTGGTACTTAGGAATCCTTGCCCTTCACAACAATTGAGAACTTAGAAGGCCATTGCACTGAAGATGAGCTTGAGGTCAGCTGGCAGGAGGGCCATATCTGAGCCTGATATTTCATTTCCCCATTCCACATTCTAGACCTTGGCAAAATTTCAGGTATTTCCAAAAAACATCAGTAGGAGAGGATTCCACATACTTATCTTACACTCTCACTCATAGGAAGACATAACACAGCTCTCTCAGTGCTAAGGCCTTTAGGCAGAAGCTCTGGTGAGGTTAGAGTCAGGCTGCAGGTGCACACTGAACACTGTGCATCTGTGGCACAGAAGTAAACAGCAGTGTCTTCTGGCTGGGAAGTCAAGATGGACAGGGAACTGCTTCTAGCAGAGGTGTCCAGGGTGATTCTTAGCCGTCCACTGATTTTCTCTCTCTCATTTGACCTTATTAAAATTAGCATGGTGGGTCCTCTGCCAGAATCCTGTCTGTACCACTGCAGGACAGTTATGCTAGATTTGTAACTGCAGTTCATGGTGGCATTTTCACCAGGTTGGATGCTCAGAGTGTGAGTTTTCTCTTCTCCTTGTTGGCTGTTCACCCCTAGAATGAAAAACAAGCCAGAGACTGGGGAGTCAGTCTGTTTTCAGATTACATTCCATCTCCAACAAGAAGATTCAACTCTAAATCATATGGCCTCTGAGATTTAATGTCCCAATTTCCATCACCAGCAGTCAAAACTCACTTGCCACATGAAGCCACAGAGTCACAAAGAACACTCTCAGGAATTTCCCCATCCCTCTGTCCTTTTAAGATCACAGGAGATGCAACTGTGGACACAAAAATGGAGCTGATTTCTCAGGCACGAGTGAATTCCTGTTTCTAAGAAGATACGTAGCTTTCCTGCCACAGCAAGCCAGTCAGAGTCCAGATCGCTTATTTGCTTTGACTACATGTGAAAGCACACACACACACACACACACACACACACACACACACACACACACCATTGATGATGCTTGGAAACCAAGGGCTTCAGAGAAGAAAGAGGCACTGCCCTCTAGTGGTGGCTACAGCACTCTGACAAGAGCTCAGAGCTGAAGCAGCTTTTCCATTTTCTGCCTTTATGAACTGTGGTTCCAGTTTGGAGGAGGAACAGATGCAGTTGAAATCAGGCAAGAGATCTCTGAGGGAAGAATGCTGCAGATAAGATTTACAGAAAGAGCTTTGAGAATTATAGGCTTCCTATAACGACTATAATCTTTATCAAAGTATCTGTGGTTTACTTTAATGAAAATAAAATACCTTTGCTTCGGTGGATGGTCAAGGACATGGACTCTGATATGACTAGGTAGAAAATGATTGAGTTTGACTCAAAATGCCAAGAAGGGTTAAGGAACTGAACTCAAACACTATGCAGTCAGGAACAAGACAGAAATTCACTCTGTAGAGCCTTACTGTGAGGCCCTTCTCCTGAGGGCCAGCCCTACAGTTGGGGCCTATAAAGCTGTCACAAAGGACAACAGTGGGCAACTGCGGTTCTGCTGACCTGCTGCTCTGCTATCTCCATCATCTTGCAATTACATCCATTCCCTCCCCCCAAAAAATAGTAGACTTTCTTGTATTGCAAAGTAATTCCCGAGTCAAAAATTAGGAACAATGCATCCTCCTGTTCTTCTCCATCTCTGTCTCTGATTTATACACAGAATATCCTAAAATCAATTTGGAAACTTTCTTTCTTTCTTTCTTTTTGGCCAGTGCTGGAGCTTCAACTCAGCCTGGGCACTGTCCCTGGGCTTCTTTTGCTCAAGGTTAGCACTCTACCACCTGAGCCACAGCGCCACTTCCTGCTTTTCCTGTGTATGTGGTACTGAGGAATTGAACCCAGGGCTTCACGCATGTTAGACAAGCACTCTACCACTGAGCCACATTCCCAGCCCAATTTTAAAACTTTCTAAAAGATTTGTAACATGAGCTTGACCACTCATCACCAGGACCTATTATATGCAGCAACAAGAGATTTAAGTCATTACTGTCAGGTGCTGGTCTAATGCTATTTTGTTATCTCATCAAAAGCTTTCCACAACTCTGGAAAGATAGCACTGCATTACTACTATATATTGTCCACATTTTACAGAGGACTTGATACTTGAACTGGATGTCTTGATTGTAAAGCTGTTGTCTCCCTGTGTCCTCCTTTGACCATCTACCACCTGTCACAGAAAAAAAATCTCAGATGCCCATTCTTATGCATCAAGCTGTTTTTACATAGCATGTCTATGCTGAAGGCCCAGAACTAAGTATCTATGAATGTGGCTGTAATTGGAGGCAAGAACTTTTAACTGTGGTCTTTAGAATAATCCTAATCCAAGGCAGATTGTGTTCCTGTTAGAAGAGGTTATGACTATTTTTTAAAGAAAGGTACATATGAAAACTGTTGGCAAGGAGATGCAGAGTACCGGTTATCAGTTTATTTACTCTTAGCTGCAAATCAACCCTTTATTCCCTGTCTGTGATATGGGATCTGAGCCCTATAAATACTTTTCCTTGGCCATTTGGCATGATATGTGGCTTTGTCATTAGATCTGAATGAAAGGACAATTTTAGGAGGAAGAAGTTTTCCTTTTTAGGGCTGAGTGTTCCTCCTCTTTTGGCAAGCCTGGCACACATAGAGAAACATCAGAGAAAAGCACTGACAGTTCCACAAGGTTGCTAGGACTTTTTCAAAAGCACCTAGGTATTTACAGCAGCTGTCATTCGTAAATTTCCTGTCAATTGTGTCAGAACCCTCATAAAGGTTTTCTGCTAGACCAGCCTTTTTGGGACACCTTAGCAAATATCCTGATCTGGTAGGCTACAGCTGCACATTCACAACAAGTTCTAAATAATAACCTTGGCAGATTCCAGAGTTGCTTATTTCAAAATGTTCCTTCTTTCGAACTCTGTCTTAATCCTGGGGATGAGAGGCTCTATTCCTATAGAATATATTCCTAAAGAATAGATTCCTATATTCTTTAGCATACATTTGACATACTAGTGGGTGTGACAGATAATCTTGATTATCAGCTAAATTGGATGGAGACACATACCAGATTATTACAGCATAGCTTGAGATGTGCCAAGCTGAAACATACAAAACCCCAACATGGGTGAAACAAGGCACAATCATGTAGCTGGGGCTTAGATGAAACAAAGAGACAAAGGAGAAAAGGTGGTAGATTAGGCAGACCCCCTTATCATGATGGGAGCAGCTCTGTTTTGACACACCCTCCTTTCCATGATGAAAGTAAAACCTCTAAAATTGTGTACCAAAGTAAATAATTCATTCTTTAAGTTGTTATCTTAGGTATTCTGGTCACAGTGTAGCTAAATAAATTAACACAGTAGCTAACCCTCATTTTATTGTTTTGGGCTAGTGCTCTACCCCTTGAGCCACAGTGTAACTTCCAGCTTTTTCTGCTTATGTGGTGCTGAAGAATTGAACCCAGGGCCTTGTGCCTGCAAGGCAGGCACTCTACCACTGAGCCACCTTCCCAGGCCCCCAGTGCCACTTCTTGTTTTCTGGCAGTTAATCAGCGGTAAGATTCTCATGGATTTTCCTGCCTGGGCTGGCTTTGAGCTGCGATCCTCAGATCTCAGCCTCTGAGTAACTAGGATTACAGGTCTGAGCCACCAGTACCTAGATTATCCCTGATTTTATTAATTGCTTTCATATGAAAATTCCCTTTTCAAATAACTTTGCTGATTCTTCCCTTGGCCAGACCTTGATTGAAGTAGGATGCAGCAAAGAGCCTGAGAAGAAAGGATGCTGGTTGCAGAAATCATCAGTCACAGCTGAGCCAGCAGATTTGGAAGGATAAGGAGGCTAGGGTTTCCAATGCAGGGTAAATAGAAAGGTGGGTGTTTCCTCTTAACCCTCAAAAGCCAATTTGGCCTAGAAAACAATGATTTTTTTTAAATTTAGCTATATTGTTATCATTGGAAAAGTTCTTTCCTTAGCACTTCTAAAATATATAAGTATGCGGCGAATGCCTTCTCGGCCAGCGAGGAAGAACGACCACCACACCAGGAGTCTTCTCAGATCACGCTTTATTGGAGAGCCTTTGAATTGATGGGAGAGCTTGAGCGCGAGAGCACGTGTACACAAAGCATGGCCGCTTATATAGGGAATAGGAACACTGTCGTTTTCCCATTGGTCGTCTGCCTTTTGCCGTCACCAGGTGCCACGGGATTGGCTGGGGACTCTACGTGGCTCGTGCATGCGCAAAGCCCAGGACCCACCGTCCTGCCAAGCACTGCCTAATATGGAGTTACCTCAAAACTGCAAGGAAGTGGGCGGCGCCTTGCCATGGCGTTCGTGCCAGCTCCCCGCATAAGTACACTTATTCAAGCAAGAAGGAAATGAGAATGACTGTGGATAATTTTCTGGTTCCATCTGAAGCTAATGAACCATGGACGGCATTCCTTTCTAAGAAGTAAACTCAATTTGGCTCCCTGGAGGAGCAGGCCCCACACTGGCCACAGACAGAGTTGTAAGTCTGAGGGTTTGTGCTCTGCTTCCCTTGCAGAACAGCTACTGTGCACTTACAGCACAACAGGACATGGCTGAGTCGTCCTCCTGAGCCCTGGCCTTCTGCAGATGGAAGGACTTCTCACTTTTGTTGAGAGTGGCTATGAAACCTTTGGCGCTGACTCCAGACATGTGTTTCAGGAGCAGCTGGAGGCCTTGTCTGGGATTCTGGACATACTTGAAGGGCACAAGGCTCCCAGAATAGGGTAGTCACACTTAAAAAAAAAGATATTGCAATATTTATTCTATTAGTCCATACATACATTTCTTTTTTTCTATTAATTTTTTTATTGTGAAAATACTGTACAGAGGGGTTACAATTACATGAGCAATGTAATGAGTACATTTCTTATCAAGCATTGTCGCCTCCTCCTTTTCTTTCCCCTTACCATCCCTGTCCTCCTATTCCCACCCCACCCCGCTCTCTACCAAAGTTGTAAAGTTCATTTTTCAACATACATCTTGTATATCTCATTGTTGCAATGGGTCCACTTGTATCCTTATTTAAACATTTTTCCCTTCCCCTCCCCAAATTATACCAACATCAAATACAGTGAAAACAGGGGTCATCCCGTGGGGGAGGGACATACAAAGCAACAAAAAATCATCTTATAAATATGTTAGAAACAATAGCAAGAAAGAAAAACCATTTGGGGGTCTTTTAAAGACTGAGATGTGGTTCACAGACTGAGTTACTGTCTGGACTCTAGTTCCTCCTGAAACACCAGTTCTAGAGCAGGGAAACTTCAGACAGTGGAGAACAAACTGATTGTCCATGTCAACGCCCACAGAAAGGCTGAATGAAAAGTGACTACTCACTGAATGTCAGTATTGTCAGCAGTGCTGGGATGAGGGTGGAGGTCTAAACATCTAAAATTATGTACCAAAGTAAATAATTCCTTCTTTAAGTTGTTATCTTAGGTATTCTGGTCACAGTGTAGCTAAATAAATTAACACAGTAGCTAACCCTGATTTTACTGTTTTGGGTTGCTTAAACTCCAGGCCTGGCCATGAGATGTAGAAGAATTTTCAGCCTCACAGAATCTGAGAGGGCGAAACCTACTGTGAATTAAACCACCATACAGCCAAAGGCTCTCCCTCAAAAGGTTTGCTGGCTGGCTTCTAAATTCAGAGTGTGAAGCATCACCCTCTAGAGGCCACAGCTGACCTGGCCCAGAAGATGGGGTTGTGGGAAACCCTTAAAACTATCAATCATCCTGGGGAGGGATTTCCTCCACTCTCAGTAGGACAATAGTAAAGTATGCTAATTAAAAAAATAAATACCATTAGAAATGTCAAGATGTAGAGTTCAGTTGTACAGAGCAATCTT